ATGGATCGTATGATGGATCCTATGATACATACATGGGAAGCGTACCTTACGATAGGTACGTAGGAATGGTATGCTCCTTCATTCCTTTCTTCGAAGCTTGTATCGTACATACACTTCAAATATGGTACGTACGTCTCCTTCTGATACAGTACGTACGTATCCGTTGCACGCGCAGTGACGAAAGTTCGAGCCTTATTTGCGTTAAAATCTCAAACCTGTCCATCTCATGTACATTTATTTCCTGACGATATGGAAGCATTCTTATCGCAGACACCAACCTCCATGCTATCTTATTATCATCGAGCCTATGAGAAACCGATTCTGGCGAGTGTCRCCCAAGCTACAACTGCTTCGGTCTCCAACACCCGCCCCATTACACAGTATTTTCCAACATTGATTCATAGTACACAACCACCGGAGAGCGTCACCCAAGACAGGCTAGTCTTTGATGCATACTCCAAGAAGAGAAGACACAAATCCCCTGCGTCACCACAGAATTCTTTGGTCTCTGCCGCACCCAACACCAACCGCACCATCCAAACTACTATGAACCAATACTTCACTTAATCATGTCCTCTGAGTCTAGCCTTGKGCCTTCATTGGCCTATCAGTGTACATACAACCTGGTCGCGCCTCCATAAAACCTCCTCGGAGGGATGCGCCGCCCCTCGGAGCAGCTAKAAGCATTCTTTCTCACGAAAGCAATGGTTCTGGCCTTCCTAGTGCCTCTTCTAGTTCACGAGGTTAAATATAATATTAAGATTTTTTTTTTTTTTTACTAGTAGCACTAGTAACAGCCAGATCGTGGAAGTCCACCCCTCTGGACTTGTTCTGCCATCTAGGTTTTTTGCTCTAGTAGTAGTACATATCATGTGCAACATACCTGTCATGCCTCATATGACTGCTTAAATTTCATCCCCGTTGACCCATGCACGAAATAACGTGTACTGAATTGTTTTAGTAGTAGTAGTAGTATTTAGATTGTATCTAAATTAGGATTGTGAGACTAACTAATGAATATA